AATTAATTATATTATTTAAATTTAGGAACGCTTTTAGTAAATTTACTATAGTTATAAAATATATATAATATAGTTAAAAATGTTTTTGAATAGATTAAAGTATAGGGGATTGCCTCTTTATAATCCTATATCCGTAGTATATTTTATATACTATATTAAATATACGGAAATTAACGTTATAATATACTAAAGCCGTAACCGAAAAATTCGGATAGGGTTTATTAATAGGATAAATATTACTAAACAATTTATTAGATTCTATATAGATAATAATATATTAAATATTCCTTAGTATACCCTAGATAGGAGTTCTTTATTTAGTTTCATCGTCTTCGTCTTTTATTAAATACTAATTTCTAATATTATTATTATTATCGGTCTAGCTAGAATATATATTAATTAAATATAACGGTTCGACGAATTTAAGTATAGTATAAATTCCCTTTAGTAATTTATTAATAGAATTTTGGACTTGGTAAGTAATCAATATATTAAAAAATAAAGAATTAATTATAAAAGGAATAAAAAGATTAAATAGCTTAAATAGTAGAAGGTGGATAATAGAGCATAGTTACGGGTATATATATATATATTGTTACTAATAGGAAGTAATATTATATTTTTAAATTATTAATTAACTATCCCCTATTTTCGCTACCTATAGAATATATTACTTTTTAAAATCTAGTTTCCTTTTCGTTACACTCGAAATTTATAATTTAACTCTATTATAATTATTATCCAATCCTCTCGGTACCGCGCTAAAAATTTAAACGTCTTCTTATTTTAATCCGATTTTTATCTCTTTTAAATCGTTGGTAAAAATACAACCTAACGGTAAATTCGTAATTACTATAATTTAATATTATCAGAATATACTAATAATTATCGTTATAATATTTATGATCATTTTATTATAGTATTTTAATTCCCGTATTAAATTCCGGCGTAGTAGTAAATAGAATAATTCTAATTAATTTAATTAGTATAATAACTTTTGATTTTAAAATTTAAATTATTAATTTTCTTATTCTAATAAATATATATAAATTACTTCCTCTTTTTTATTACAATTTATATTTATCTTTAATAATAATAGGAGGTATTTATTTAGATTCATTGTTTATTAATTTACACTATGTTTTTTAAAAACTCTATAATATTAATAAAAAGGCTCTATAAATTAAAAGTTATAATATTTATGAATTCTAATACTGTTTCAAATATTTTAAAGATTCTCATTATATTGTTTTTAAAAACCTCTAACCGTTTATTTCTTTCCTAATCCCTATCCACTTTTTCCAAACAACATTCGATTCTTACGCTTCTAATTAATTCCAATATTAAAATCTCAAATCTAATAACTATATTATTAAAATATCTATATTTATTAATTAAATAAAAGTAATATAATGTAGTAAAAAGAAATACTTTTTATAATATAGATACACTAAATCAATTAGATCGAACAATATTAGTAACTGCATTAATTATAATAGTAGAAGAAGTAAAAAAGCTTTAGGATTTTAATCCTCGAACATTTATAAATTTATAGGGTTATTTATAGTATTCGTATTCGTATAGAGAGAAAATACAATAGGCTAATACAATAAGTAAAATATAAAGTTTAAATTTAAAAACTAATTTCCATCGTCAAAAATAACTATATATACCCCTTTTCTCTTTTAATTTATACTATATATTTAATTTCTTCTTTAACTCCTTTCATTACAACTATTATATTCTATCTAATCAATATACTATAGCAATTTTTCTTCTTTTATATTGCTATTAATGCTTTTATAAATGATTTTTATATTATAGAACTTCTATTATAATTAACCCTTAAATTCCCTATTCGTACTATACAAATTTAATATAAAAGCTCCTTGTAAAATATTTAATTAACTTTTAAAAGTAAAAATATAAAATCGCTATACGAAGTTACTATAATTATTACCAACGTCGAATACGTAATCCCTTTCGAATATCCCAATTGCCCGCAACTATTAATATTTAAATTTATTATACTAATTCTTCTAAGTAGTAATACGCTTATATTTTAATATTTCTCTTAAATCTTCGATCCCTTTAATATAAACTAACCTAAATTAAAGAATATAACTCATCTATTAAAAAGTATTATATAACTAAAATTACAACTAGTAACGTTATAAAAACTATACCTATTTAAAATAAGATTACTCACTATTTTAATATTTTATTGGATACTATAGAATTATCTATATTAATTAGTACCCGTAATTCCCTAGGTTTATTTTCTAAAACATCTACAATAAACAAACTAGGAATAAGCTAACCGACGACTATTTCATTAGTATCCACTCTGTATAAAACAAGTATAACCTCAATAGTAGATACTATTAATAATATCGAATTATAGTAGATAATAGATACAATAATAGATTTGAATTAATTATAATATATATAATAGATTGGAACTAATTATAATAAGTAGGGGAATAAATAAATAGATTAGAATTTAGGTAAATAGAAAGAGTTTCAAGTATTTAAAAATTGATTTTAGTAAATAATATTGACAAACGATTTTAAATATCCGAAATTCTATTTTATAACTATACGAATATAAATAGTATTTAAACTAATATAAAATTAAATTTATTATTATTATCCTTAACAAACGGAAAGATAACGATGGTAACCGCAATTAGGTCGTAAAATACTAACATTTCCCCAAGCCTTAAACAAAAGCCAACCCGAATATTAAATCCTAAAATACAATACCAAAGTACATAAATAGATGGAAAGTATTATAGAAAATAAAATAGAAAGGGTAAAGATTTTAAAGGGGTAATTAACCGAAATGATACTACTTTCTATTATAATTAACATACAAAATAAGAAGTAAAAGGAAATAAAACTCAACCAATAAATATAACTGAAAATAATAAGGAGGATAACGATATAGAGATAATTATCGACGATAATTAAGAAAAAGAAGAAGAATATGAAGAAGAAGAATATAAAGAAGAAGAATATAAATTTGAGGACGATAAAGAGAAGGTAGAGTAAGAGAAAGGGGATAAAAAAAAGAAAATTTGAAGACGATAAAGAGGAAGTAGAGTAAGAGAAAGGGGATAATAAAAAACGAAAATTTGAAGACGATAAAGAGGAGGTAGAGTAAGAGAAAGGGGATAAATAAAAACGAAAAGAAAATGAAAACCAAAAGGAGAATATTAGTAAAGGCTAAGGAGAGAAAAATACGAACGCCGCCGAATCCGAGGAAAATTTATAAACGATAATAAACGCTTTAGATAACGAGTAGTTGAAGACTATTAATAAGAAAAATAATAATTAGAAAGAGAAGAATAATTGGGGCGGCGCAAAAATAAGTAATAAAACTAAAGGAATGTAGACCACAATATCCTTAGACTGTTATATAGTAGAAGAATGGTTCGAATTTGAAAATATTAATGACTAAAGCGCTAAGGAATATACTAAAAACAATTAGTACGGTAAAATATATATATATATAAAACATCCTGAGACTGGTATATTAATATAGGCTAAAATTATAGCATGACTACCGCGAAGTAATTTAGTTATTATTACTATATAAAAGGAAGAAAATATTCTTCAAGTATATACGGTTCCTCTTTACTAATATAAACTGGCCAAATCCGAAGTTGGCGATATAAAAACAAGATATAGAGGCTGGAGAATCTACGATTTATTTTATAGTATAGGATATAATACAATTTAAATAGACAACACCTATACAGACTCCGAACCAATGGACTTTCGTAGAGAATAACGGTAAAAGATATATAATAATATAGAATATATAATCTATGTTCAGGGGCAAAGAAGATATGTTAAGAGATATTAATATTTATTATTGTCGATCTATAATTAGATTACCTATAAAACTTATTCTTAAAAAGGAGTTAGGAAGTTAATACGTAATTAATACTAAGTATCACGAATTTAAGACTACAATCGAACAAAGATTGGACAATATTGAAAAAGAAATAATAAAATTGAAGAGTAAATTAAAAATAAGAAATTCCTAACCATCGGAATAAAGAGGTATCCGAATATATAATAGGAGTTTCGAAATAATTTTTAATCTATAGAATATATAAAATCTATATAATATATAAATATTTATATAAAATTAACAATATATAGTAAATAGATATTTTTTAAATTGTTTTTTAAACTTACTTAATATTATTATTATAAATATTATGTATATTTTAATATTATATGGGAAGGCGACGTTAAATAAAAGGGAGAGAAGTATACGAAGGTCTATAGGGTAATCGATTTATATATATTTATATAGATATTGGATATTATACTCTTATCTTCTCTCCGCATCAAAGTCCCGCCAATTCCATTCGCGTCTCTCTCCCGCTCTTATATTTTACTATATATATTAGTAACCTCCTCCTTCCTCTTTTCCTTCGATAACCCTTACTGGCTTCAAGAAGTAAAACGGTAGCTAATTAACCCTATAGCACTGGTACTATCAAGCACTAACCCTAGGGAGGATAATAATTATATTGGAGACGGTTTATCGTCGTTGTAATCGTTCGCGTCGCGGTCGGCGGGGTAATGCGAGGGAGGAGTGCTAAAAAGAGAAGAAAAAGAAGAAGAAAAAGAGGGAGGTAAAGTATAGGTTACCGGTTTAAAATATAGAATATAGTTATTAAGCCCGATATACTTATTTTGTAGGGTAATATCCTTTTCTTCGTTGCGGTTGAGGAACCCTAAGCTAGTTCCGGCTCGCCGGAACTAAGGTTAGGGTTCTGACCGCCATATCTAGAAACACAGCTCCCCACAATTACTATCGGCTACATTTCCGCACCTCTCGAAGGATTGATTGATTAAAGAGATGCGAGAAAAGAACGAGCAATGGGCTATTTCCAGAATAACCGAACCGCTTGGATCACCCAGGACGCCAAGGATTGGAGCCCTCGTGTGAATGTTATTGAGCTCAGCAACTGACAACGATGAGTTTCCCCGGTCACCACATCACCCCGAATCCGGAGGACCACGGCAGTGGTCCCTGGCCGATAGACTCTAAGCGGCCCATCTACGCTGCTCCGGTCCCTCAACCATTCGTCTCAGTGCCGGCGGCTAATTTGGGTCGTAATAAATAGATTGCCGCTCCTAGTTCTCACCTAGGCTTTATTGTCCTAGGAGCTCAGCAGCATACGGCCGGACATTTTGGGATAGTTCACCACTATCAACCTAATTAGAGCCAATATGCGCCTTATATTATCACACCTCTCGTAACGCCTCCTAACCTAAGAGTAGTATATAACGCGCGCGGAAGGAGCAGAGTCCCGCCTCAAGCTCACGTTTATACGGCCCATAGACCCCACATCTAGCACCAACATCTATTATATATTAATCCCAACTATACCAACCCTACATACTTACGTAGGCAATAATCTAAAAAGGCTGCTCTTGCTCAGTAGTACGCCAAGCTATCTTTGGAGGAAACTAATAAGTCTCCTATTACTGTGACTACTCCTACCACAGCTACAATTACTGCTAGAATGCCCGCCCAATAAGCTTCAGTTCTAGTTATCGTAAATACTACAGCCATAGGAGCCACAGAACTAACAGTGGCCACGGGAGCCACAGGAGCCACGAAAAATATAATAGGGCCTAATAGAACTCTTCTTATTCCACCTCCTAACCTAACTCATCCAAGCTACGAACTCTCCCAGCCTATAGCTAAGGCGATGGAAAACTTTTCCATTCCTCATTGCTACAACTACCTACAAACTAAGGATTTACTAAGAGACGAAATAAATAAGAAGGAACAGTATTAACTCACCGAGATTGCTTTCGGTCTTTCGTAAAGGCCATTAAAAAGAAGGGCGCTAATGATTGTCCTTTTCGAATGGGAAATAGATTGTGAAACAAGTCCTCGAGAATATTCAGGAGAAACTTATGGAACTGCTGCAGAACGAGCTTGACAAAATGAGCAAGGAAGATGATTCTAACCTTGACTTGGATGCCGAATATAGGGAGCCGGCCCGGGACTCTGAGGATTGGATATTCAAGGGTTAAGGCAAGGACCCAACGCCAATGTGACGGACATATGGGGGAAGCCAACCTGGATTATCTGGATGTCTTCTAATAGTGACGAATGAAGGTGGGGCCTAAAGACAATGTGCTGGGACATGTTAGGACTGGACTCTCTTTGGTACTTTTTGTTGATGCTCTTTTACTTACGTTGGTTTTGCCTTCCAGCTTTCTTTCTTTTTAAAATACCCGACTCAATCAAGGACCACATCTGGGTTTACCAAGGGCGGTAAAAAATCTTCCGCATGCTGGAGTGATAATTGGTGCTGCGTACGCACTGAATTACTAGCCGCTTAATTCAAATATCCCGAGGGAACGGAACGCTAATTTAGTTTGGTGCACCCCAGAGAAAGTATGTCTATTATAGAATAATTAGATAATATACAATTGGAAAGAAACGTAGCATCTCAAAATAATAGCCTAATTATACAAAGATAACTTAACAATACTATATATCTCATAGTATTATATATATTAGATATTACTAATAAGTAAAAAAAAAAAGAAATCTAGAACGGATGCCATAAATATTTAAAGTCTATAACTTAATAGTATATATCACTTCTAATTCTAATTCTAATTCTTTTAAGAAGGGCGAAAGTAGTAAACTATAGGAAGATTCTTTCAATATCAATATTATTACAATAAAATATATTTAAATATATCTAGGCCTAAATATATTTTAATTAATATTATTATAAAGACTAATATATAATAGATTTAATTTCTTCTTAAAACATTATTATAACGCTAATAAACTACTATACCCCAAAACTATATTTTAAAAGGATATAAGTAACCGAAACTAGTAATTCGGTCGCTTAAATAGTTTTATATAATTATAATAGTAATTAAAAAGTATAATTGTAAAGTTACCATTATAAATACTTTAACGTATAGTAGAAGCTATAATAATATTTATTAGCCAACTAGCGAAGGAAATTACTAATTTACTATATTAATTAATTAACCCTAAGGATCTATTAAACCTATACTCCAACCTACAATAAATAAATACTTACCGACAACCTAAAAGATTATAAAGTTTACCCGTAGTAAATTTTTATAATAATATTTATATAAATAAATATAGAGTATTCTTATCGTAAATAATAGTTAAGGCGTAACGGAATTAATAATAATCGGGCGGCCAAAAAATTAATATAGGATATTTAATTACTTTAAAATAACTATATAGTAAATCGGCTATTTTAGGTAGGGTAAGGCTATAACGTAAGAAACGAATATAAAATAACTATAATAATAAAGGGCGGTTTAATATAAATTTAAAATATTTTTAATATTAACCTAAATATAATATTATAAGGATTGCGATTATTATTTTTAAAATATAGAAACGCTTCGGTGATATCGCTAAAATTTGAAGTAATATACTTTTATTTTCCTTTCAATAAAAATAACAATTCCTATACGCCCTTATATATAAATGATAATATTAGGTTCTAAAATAGCGTTTACAAGCTTTAGAAACTAACTAATTAATTCCGTAACTTAAATAGCCCGTAATATAACCGGAAATAATCCCTCTAAAAACTTAATAAATTTTTTCAAAATATATAATTATTTCGCTTTTATTATTCTTTTATTTTCGGAATTTATAAATATTAATAATACCTCCAAATAAATTCTACTCTAGCGGGGAATATTCAAACCTCGTAATATCTTATAAAAGAAGGGAATACTATATATATAAAACTATTGTATATATATAATTTAAACTCTTCTTTACAATTTACCATAAAAGTTTTAAAACTAATAATAATCTATATACTAGTAACGATACTAAACTAATATTATATTTAGAAGATACAAAAAGGAAAGATTAACCTCCCAAATAATAATCCTCGGCTTATCTCTATAATAATATCTTATTTATATTACTTTGATTATAATATATAGTTACAATACGAACGTAATAATTTTAATAAGTTAAAAATAAACGGATACAAAACTAATATTAATAAACCAATAACGGATACCCTTCTAATTTATACAAAAATTTACGCCTTAGTAGAAAAATACTTAATTAATAAACTAAAAACTATTATGCTACAATAATTCAAAACGGCGGCTACTATCTCTTTAAATATTAATAATTTCCTTAAAATAGTACTAATAATATACAAATCCACTATTAAAGACAATAAAAGTTTAAAAAACATCGTCGTAGAAACCCTTCATAAATATTATAAATAATTAAATAAAAACAAGGTACAAAATATAATTAAAGAATTAAGAGCTTTAATATATTAATTATATATATATACCAAAAACATAAGTTCTTCTAAACTGAATCTTAAATTAATTAATACATTAATAAAATAATCCCCAATAAAGTCTAAAAAATAATACCGCCCAATCTACAATACCGCCCTACTAATCGCAACCGCACCCTAAAATATCGAATCTCAAAGAGCATTACGTAAATTCTTCGCACGCCCAAACGGCACAACCAAACAGGCGGCACAACCAAACAGGCGGCACAATCAATCGGACGGTACAATTAAAAATATCAAAGCAATTAAAGGACTTACTATTATTATTAGGCTTGGTTATAATTACAATTATTGTAATCGTAATTCTAAGAAGAGATATCTCGGTAGGATAAACGGAAATAATATCCTTATTTATATTCCATATACTTAAGATTCTAATTTAATACGTTTTATAGCTTCCTCTACTATTTTTTCTCTTTTCCTCTTCTTCTATCCCTATTTTAATAGGCATTCCTTATTAATAACAACTCCTATTTACCTATTATAACCGTAAATATCCAACGTATAAATTACGAAGCGAAGTTATTAATTTAATTATTCTTCCCTTCTCCCTTATATTTAAAATAATCGAATAATTTATCGATTTTATAATATTTATTTATATACTTTAAAAAACTATTTCCTATATAGAATAGTTGACTATATTTTAAATAAGGAGTAGATTTAAATTTGGTAATTATAGCCGTTAATTTAGGTTTAATAATAAATTTAATAACGAAATCCAAAATATTAATTAAATTATATACTCTTTCCATATAATTACTCTACTCCAATACCCTTTCGATTCTATAATTTTTCTTTCTTTACCACTAATATTCAAAATATAAAAAAAATTCAAAGGTCGTTGCCGTAAGATAAATACTCCGATAGTATCTATTAAAATTATTTCAACGAATAAAGCTTTATTGGTAGAAAAAATATATAGAAAATATAGAAATTATTTCCTTGGATTCGGAAACTATTTACTCTATTTCCCGAATAATATTTTCTACTTCTCTATATTTATTATTTAGATATATAAAAAGCATTTTCAATATTATAAGCTACTTTTAAATAATTTGGTCAAAACTACTATTATTCGAATTTAAAAAAACTATTTTCGTAGTAATATTGGAAATTAGATCTTTAAGGTTCAAATATCGATTAATAATTATTATTATAAATAAATTAAGACCGAAGGAATATTTAAAAAGATTTAGAAAGGGGGTTAATATATTTTTAATTAATAGGTTATAAACTTTAAAGGAATTAATTTTACTAAAATAGTTTTTTCGAACTTATTTAATAGCTAAATTTAATAATACTATCTATAGATTTCCAATTTTTATAATGAATTACTTTACCTATATATTATCTATAGAAAGTTTAGATACTTCCCGGAAGTAATAACGCTATATATAAAATACTTTTATATCTTCGCAATTTTCAAACGTTTTTAATATAACTGCTATCGGATAAAGTAATACTTTATCATCCCTGCATAAGGATACGGAGGCTAATGATTTAAATAGTTTAAATTAATCTTTTAATATATTATTGAAAACGAATAATATTGAATTATATAGAATATACCTCGCTTAATAAGAGGTTTCAAATATTTTTATATTATAATTTAAAATATAATTTCGAATTGCGGATATAAAGGAACCTTATATAAAAATTATAAATAAAATAATAAGGGAAATAAGTAAAAGTTTTTACTATTAATTTTATTTCTACCGCTAATTCGCAATATTTAAGGGCGGAGAGTATTTCTATTCCCCGCTATTAACTATATCCGGTTCTAAAATTCTAGATATTTGTAGTACTTTAAAGGAAAGATAGGCTTCTACTACATCTTATCCTTCTATTTGAATTTAATATAATTAATATCATTTAAATTTAAACATTAAAATAATTTATTAAAAGACGAAAATTCTATTTCGAAGGTATTATTATATAGAATTTAAATAATTATAAATGTAATTAAATAAACGATTAGGTATAGTACTATAGTAGTAGAAAAGGTTATTCTAGAAAAGTGTTAATTTAAATTAATAATTAAAGGTAAGAATATATATATATTTGCCCCTTTATTAATTTTATTAGCTGATAACTTATTTTCATTAATTATAATCTTAATAATAAACTTTAGTTACTTTATATCTAGATTACGAATAATAAGTAATTTAATTTATTAGTAAAGTATATTCTTATAAATACCGGGCCGAAAACTAATGCTTCCCATAAGCACAAATATATAAAAGGTAAGCTAATATTTAAAATTACAAAGTATCGACTGCGCGTTCCTATAAAGTACTAAGAATAAGTAGAATATTATTTATTATAATTTCTGTTTTTTTTAAATATTTATTTATATAAGAACTTAAACTTTTATATAAGAATTGATTAGATTTACTGTAAGAAGAAATATTAATATATAATATCGGTATAGGTAAGGAGGGAATTTACTTAGATAACTTCTCTATAGGCCTTCCTACGGTTATTAAGTAATATTTATTATTCGGAATCTTCGTTTAAATCTTTATTTAAATCTTAATCCCTTCTCTTCGCGAATACTATAATATTAATTTAAACTACTATATATTTCTATAAAACAATAATAGTTACTACTAATTAAATTATTACTACTTCCTTCTATTCTTTAATACCGTTTATATATAGACGCTTATATTTTATATAGTGTATAGTCGGTTAAAAAGCTCTTACAAATAATAATAAACTTTTTCTTATTTTAATATATATTAAACCAAACTTTATTAGCCTCTTTTTACATTAATTATAATACATTTATAATAAATTTAAAAAGTATTAAGATATAATATTAAAGAAAATAATAAAATAATAAAATATATACTTATTTTATAAATACTATACGCATTCTCGCTTGGCTTTAATTTTCTTATAAAGCAAACGCTTATATATTATTACTATAAATTCGTCGACGTCGGCAAATACTCTTTTTTTCCGTTCTTCGACGTTAGGTATAATCGGCGGTATCGGCGGTTTTCGTAGCTCGATCCCTTCCGTATTATATATAGATAGAATACAATCGGCACTATAAAATTTAAATAATACCCTCTTAAGTTACAGTAATTTACGAGCTTAGTATATTTGGGAGGAGAAATTAATTAGAAAATTCGGAAGGAGGGTTTTATACAAAAATTAACGCAACCTTCGTAACGTAGGGGCCGTAATTTATAAGGTAGAATCAATTGGGAAGAATAAATATATAATAAATATAATTAGAATGGGATAGAAATTTGCTTCTTTAGTTTAATTAGGAATCCGAGGGTAAAGATACAATTTATATCTTAAGGCCCTTCTAATTTGCCTAAAGGGATATACGTATGGAGAAAACTATTCACCAAAGCCAACTACACCTCCCAAAAGCCAACCACACCTTCCAAAAGCCAACCACACCTTCCAATTAGATATACTAAATATATGGAGTAGAGTAGGTGTCAGGGGTAAATGGCAGGGGTAAGTACCTTGTGTAGTATATGCCTAGCCCACTCAGCTGGGTTAGCGTAAGTGGAACGGTGCACTCGATGGCGAAGGCAATGAAAACGGTTCTAAAAACGGCGGCGGCGTTTTTGGCTGAATTATCCAAACCCTTGTTAAAAACTACTCCCATAGATAATCTTACAATATGGTAGCTTATCTATCGGAGTTGGAAGGATATGAAACGGGTCTTTTAATTACGTGGTAGGGTCAAAAAACTGAACTACCACCTTCCATATCCATATCGTTCGGACGGAGGCAAGACGGTAAGTGGGGAGGCGGCGCTAAAACGATAAATATAATTGGGCAGATTACGAGAAAAGTTGACCGTCCTGACACTGCGGCTAGATTTTTTACACGGGTAGTGTGACAAGGGCAGAGTTCTAGGCTTGGAACAAAGAGTTCAATTCAGCTGATAATCTTCTTTGGTCTCGAAGGCTTTGTTGATCCTTTCAACCGCCAGAGGAAGGCTAGGCTCCAAGGCCTTCTTATACCAAAGAAGGTTGGTACGTACCGAGCCTTTACGACCTGAGGCCTCGAGGCATCGGCGCTTGTCTATCTAGTTCATGTGCATACAAGTAGATCTTTCTAAATACCTTCCTTCTAACGCCGACCTTCGTCCGGTCGTCCTACTTCTACTTGGTTGGCTATAGTTACTCCGTAAAGGCGCTTAGCGCTGTCGGTAATTTGTTACGAACTTAAGCGACACAAGGGCTGACCAGGCCGTCGGGACCCGACTGCTCCCCTATGGTGGCCAGTGTAACCTCCAGGAGGGCAAGCATCGACCTGAAGGGCGCATGCAGGTGCGCGCTGACGCACTGGCTCACGATGAGCAGGGCTCACAGTGAGCCAACACCATCAGTGAGCCATCACTACAATAGATACTCAAGGACCAAGGAATCAGGAATAGGCACGGAGTATAAAGGGACGACTGGAGGACTCAGATTGTCAGATAGTTCGACAGTTGTCAATTGATCATTATCACCGAGACTAGTATAACGCTACCATACTTGTTGTGAACTTTTTGGCTTCACCGAACGACTTTGATAGTTTACTACCTTCAGCTATCTCACTTAGGCAGATCAGACTGCCGTTCGTCACATAATTCCAGTCAGCAGTTCGAAGGTAGGCTCGATAGCCTGGTAGCGCTTCGGCTGTGTTGATGCCGGTAACAGGGAGTTAGGTTGGGCGAGGATGATCTTTGACGTCTGAGGCCGCAAAGCATCGATGATGCTGGTGCCACGCTTTGAGCCTGCGGAGCCTCAATAACCCTATTCCTAAAGAGTTAGTGAATGTCGCCGGCGAATGTCCGTGTGACAGGTAGGCAGATGAAGCCTGTCGTCTGTTACCCTAGCAATGTCAACGAACGCTAATACTGCACGCGAAGCCCAAAGGCCAACCCGCGTATCACAACTTCTAACTATGAGATATTTGCTCGGACGATTTCAGATGAAAAATCACCTTAACATGTTGAATACCGGCGGCATTTATTGCCGGTAGGGCCGACATTGCAGGTTTGCCAAGCCCTGTAAACCCCGTGACAAAGCCACGACCCTCGCCCAAGTCGAGTTCTGGGTTCAGAATGCCCGGCCTCTAGAAAGAAATGTCCTTTGGGCTACTGGCGTGTAGTTGTAATACCGTTAGGAGGGTATTGTGAAGCATTAAGAAGATATCTTGAATGTGATTGATTGTATGTGAAGTGTGATGATCCTGGAAACAATCCAGAGAGGTCGAAGACCATATGCACGCAAGCTATCCTTATCTAATCTACAGGACCTACACAAGTGGGGATGCGACCGAGGGGTCGGGTCAATCACTTAAACCCAACAGGCGCCTGCCAAGGCGGGTACCTCAGGCATCAGTCAAATCACATATGATGCCTGCGATACCGTTCCGGTATCAAGTTGGTGGGCGCCAGCCATCCTACGCCTGACATAGTAAAACAGAAACAGACTCAACACGACGCTTCATGCTCCACCATAGCCTTGAGAAAACATAGTACTCTAGTTTCTTTTTATTTTGTCCTTGGGGGCAGGATAGAGGAATCTCCAGCATTTTTACAATCCATTGATCGTCAACTGTATAGCATTCGCTGCCTCCAGAACAATACGATCATCTTCGAGTGCCTTATCTACGTCGCCTCGCTCAAGACCTTCGTTCCCTAAAGCTACGATGTCTCAACGACTGCACAATACGGAGGGTTGGGAAGATGATAAGGGCCAAGAGCAGTCTCGCCCTGCACCTTTGCCAGAAATCTCCGCCGCCACCGCTATGTCCGCTACCCGTATGCCCGCCCCCGGGCTCCCAGCCGCTCCAGCTACCGGTTCCGCTGATACAGCGACGTCCGCCGGCGTGGATAACACGAAGCAGGTGGAAGTAGGCTTACTTCTTTTCCCCCTACGACATTTCAGAATAACGCTAACACCTATAAAGAATCTATATTACAACGTTCCCATATCACGTAGCCATATTCGCTTGCTTCAACTATTGCCGTCTGAAAACGAGGACGCCGCAATACACTGTCGGTTCTTCCCCACCACATTGGACTCAAAAGGCACTCGTCCGTACGAGGCCTTATCCTACGTGTGGGGCTCCGAGTCCAAGCCTTGTTCCATCTCTATAAACGGGTGCGACTTGCCCGTCGGAGAAAACCTTCACGCAGCGCTGTTACATCTTCGAGATCACTCCATTGAACGAACTATATGGATAGATGCCATTTGCATCAACCAAGAAGACGAAGAAGAAAAAGGACACCAAGTTCAATCTATAGCGAAGATCTACGCTAAAGCAAGTCGCGTAATTGTTTGGCTTGGAGAAGAGGCAGCCGGTAGCGACCAAGCGCTCGAAGAAATACGCATGGCAGGCGAGCGCGACCAAGCGCTCGAAGAAATACGCATCGCAGCCAAGCTGTCTACAAAACGATTAGACAATAAAGCGGGAATCCTTGCACTGCTTCAACGACCGTGGTTTCAGCGCATTTGGGTAAGGGAACCGATATCAAAGTATTATGACTAAGGAAACTGACAGATTGATGCAGGTGCTTCAGGACGTTGCCGCGGCTCGCCATATTCTGATCAAGTGTGGTTCTGCTGAGGTTGACGGATTTGCATTCTGCTCAGGCCTAAATGCATTGAACCTGTTCAATGAACTCCGCGCAGACCTGCGGGCTCGAATCCTTTCAGTAACTTACCTCATAAGGGGCGCAATCTTCCGGCCCAAATACGCGACCAGTCAGTCAGACAACTTTTCTCTTGACATACGCCCTCTGGGTGAACTGATAGAGATGTACCACACCCGCGAAGCTACGGATCGTCGCGATAAAGTATATGCCTTACTCGGTATGAGCTCTGATAATCCAACCGCAGCAGGATTATTCGCCGACTACCAGATTTCGTGGAAACAACTCTTCAACAAACTCATCCACTTCTTCCTATCTGAATTGGTCTCTGTAGACATTTCGGACGATAAGGAGATTGCCGTCATTGAGGGCAAGGGCTGCATTCTTGGCGAAGTGTCCTCGGTCAAGAGAAATGCTACTTGGGAAGACAGACAAGATGTGGCCATTGCTTGGAGGAATGACCCCAGCTATATTTGCGTGAAGGAAGCATGGGTTTCTTGCTGGACCCTCCCGACCACGGTAAAATCCGTCCAAAAAGGAGATGTCATCTGCCTTTTTCAAGGAGCGTCGAGACCCACGATCCTCAGGCCATACAACGATCACTGGGCGGTTATAATGATTGCAGTTTCCTCGGCAAGCGATTCACGAGTTACGACCGGAGATATTAAGTGGTCAGAACTTTTACAATCGATAACAGTCTTTCCACACAATTTTCGACTTATCTGGGATTGGGATATAGATCCAGACAGGCAGCAAGATGAAAACAAGCACGACTACTTTGCAAGCATTCCAGTACCAGAGCATTCAAAGACAGGGTTGGAAGGTTGTCTAAATGCGGCGACTCGGATACGGAATGTCAGATTGGTATTACAAGAGGTGAAACAGTATGGAGTTGCAGTGAAGAATCTTCGGGAAGAAACGGCGGTTCTTGAGAGGGCATTGAGGAGCATGAGCAACCTAAAAAAGACTTGCTTAGGTCCCGAGGATTCAGAAAAGGAAGATGCAAAGGAAACAATGGTGAATCAACTTATTGAGGACAAAGGCCAATGGACGCTTCTATGCTTGGCGGCAGGAAACGGGCATCAGACGGTCGTAAAATTGCTTCTCGACACCGGCAAGGTCAACTTGCATAGGGAGGAGCTACGGACGGCGCTGTGGCTTGCGGAGCAAAAAGGCTATAAAGCGATCGTTAAGATGCTTTTCGATACTGGCAAGGTTGACGCACGTGCTAAGGATGAGAATGGACAGACAGCGCTGCATCGAGCGGCAATAACTGGGCATGAGGTAGTCGTTCAGCTACTTCTCGATACTGGCAAGGTTAATGCAGGTGCTAAGGATGAGAATGGACAGACAACGCTGCATATGGCGGCAGAGAAGGGGCAGGAAGCGGTTGTTAAGCTGTTTCTCGATACGAGCAAGGTTGATGCAAATTCTAAGGATAATAATGGATGGACAGCGTTGCATATGGCGGCAAAGAATGGGCATGAGGCGGTTGTTAAGCTGTTTCTCGATACGAGCAAGGTTGATGCAAATTCTAAGGATAATAATGGATGGACAGCGTTGCATATGGCGGCAAAGAATGGGCATAAAGCGGTTGTTAAACTGCTTCTCGATACTGGCAAGGTTGATGCAAATCCTAAGGATAAGGATGGACGGACAGCGTTGCATATGGCGGCGGAGAAGGGGCATGAGGCGGTTGTTAAGCTGCTTCTCGATACTAGCAAGGTTGATGCAAATCCTAAGGATAAGGATGGACGGACAGCGTTGCATATGGCGGCGGAGAAGGGGCATGAGGCGGCTGTTAAGCTGCTTCTCGATACTGGCAAGGTTGACGCAGATCCTAAGGATGAGGATGGATGGACAGCGCTGCATATAGCGGCGGAGAATGGGCATGAGGCGGTTGTTAAGCTACTTCTCGATACTGGCAAGGTTGACGCAGATCCTAAGGATGAGTATGGATGGACAGCGCTGCATATAGCGGCGGAGAATGGGCATGAGGCGGTTGTTAAGCTACTTCTCGATACCGGCAAGGTTGACGTAGGTGCTAAGGACCGGCTTGGACGGACAGCGCTGCATATGGCTGCGGAGAATGGACATGAGGCGGTTGTTAAGCTGCTTCTCGATA